TAATTGCAAATTGTCTTAAATCTTCTTTGTTAAATTTTGTAAAAACACCATACTGACTTAGTTAAAATACAGTAACTCAGGACATTACACAAAGTATTCACTGACTACAGTCACTCTAGTTATCTATTATCTTTAAAGAAGTGGATATAGGATAACAAATTGGTGGTGACTGTGAGATACAACACTCTATTTATGACATTTTGTGAAAAAAAACCTAAATTTACGATAAATTCAGGAAACGATTGGTACTAAGTGAAGTATACCAATATTGCTCCGTTTGAGCTAAAATTTTAAACATATACTTTTGAAGATCTTGTACAACTTTTCTACTAAACATATCTTAGTGAGAAAACGCCACCCTGAGCCACAATTAATGTCAAAATTCTATACAAATTTTTTATTATTATATGCAATTTAATTTTCAAAGCTACAGTATAAAGATATTCACACACCAACAAGAACACATAGCTGAGACTCCTTTGAGTCAACCTGATGATTCTTGTAATATTTGCAACCCAGTAACAATCTTTATACCAAAAGACTTTTACAACTTCTATTATTGGTATTCGCAACGATACCCTGCTTGTGATTTTTCACAGAAATCATTAGACTATTTTTATAGTATAAAAGATATTTACACACAATTTAACTTACCCAACTTAAGAATACTATTTTCAAACTTATTCATAGTTTTCGTTATACTAGTTTACCTAGAAATATCCTTGATATTATTCAATCTGTTGCTTCTTTAGCTGTCTATACTAACTTTTATCAAAAAAACCCTTTTACTTAATAGACGAAGACTTTTGCCCTCCTTACTATACTGATTTTGAGGATTATAGTGACTCATTTAACAACCTCTTTTGTGAACAACAACCTAATATTACAATGACAACTGCAGACAATGTTCTTAATTATTTGAGAGATAACGAGAAAGAAAATATGCTTCTAAGAGTTAAACCTTTTAAAGGAGATAGTACTTAAAACCCTTTTATCTGGTTAGATGATTTTAACAAAGCTACTCAAGCAAACAAATAGAATTTGGCTAGAAAGAAAGATATACTTGCTGTTTTTTTAAGAGATAATGCTGAAGATTAGACTATTACAGTTCAAGACTATGCCGATGATGGAACAAATTAGACCACAATTGAAACTGCCTTCAAAAATAACTTTTATACTCAATATTGGCAAAACAAATAGCTTAAAGCTTTGATATGTTAAGACAAGGACCTAACAAATCTGTAAATACTTATTACAGCAGGTTTAAATGATTGCTTAAAAGAGTAGATACTGGAACAACTCCACTTCAAGATGCCTAAAAGTTATATTACTTTAAAAAAGATTAAGACCAGAAGTTCTTCCTATCTTACTTACCCACAACCCTGGTGATTTGAATACTTCTTTGAACATACTAAAACCTATAAACAAGAAATAGACTTTGCTACTAATGCTGATCCTGTTTCTATTAAAAAAACTTCTTCTAATGAATACAAAAAAGAAATTGAGCAACTAACTAAACAAATGAGCCAAATGTCTTTCAACTATGCTTTAATTGCTTCTGCCTTGACTGCTCAAGCTGAACTATCTTACATACCCAAGCCAAGACAAACAAATTATTTTTCTAATGCACCCAAACCCAGATTTAATCATAATAATAATTTTAGACCCCATATTACCTGTTTTAGATATGGTGAAAAAGGATATTATGCTAGAGATTGTATGTTTGAATATCTTTCTACACAAGAACAACAGTATCAAATGAATAGCCAACCCTCAACTAGAAGAAAGATTAACTATGCAGCTATAGAAGAAGATTACTAAACTAAAGAAGAAAAAGTGTATATTACAAGAGCACCCAAACCTCAACCATATAGAACAAACAGAAAAGTTCAAAAAAAAGCTCAAAAACAATCTAAATCTTAAAAAGAAATGAAGTTAAGGAATGAGACTATCTATAATGAACCTAATGTCGAACCTGAAGAAATGAAAGCTGAACCTATTGAACTTCTCAAGCCAACACCAAAAGCAACTAAAGCAAAGAGAAGCCTAGCAAAGAAACTGCCTTCTATAATTGACCAACTTGAACCCTATGATATTGCAAAAGATTTGCTAAATTGACCTGCTCAAGCTACTTATGGATAACTATTGTAATATCTTAACCAACGTAAAAATCTTGCCCAAACAATAAAAAGAAAGACTGTTGTAACTACCGAAGCTAACCACTTAGAATTGGATCCAACAAAGAAAACTGTTGCTATGAGATATCATATTAATATTGGAGAACAACCAGTAGTTGCTATCCTTAACTCCGGTGCTGCTATTAGCATAATTACCAAGAAGCTAATGCAAAGACTAGGATTACATATTACTAAAAAATCTAAAACTATTGTAGTAACTGCCAATGAAGCTAGAGAAAAAGCTCTAGGATCAATTAGTGATATTAATATCGCATTCCAAAATATTGCAATCTCTATTGACTTGCAAGTAATTGAGTCCAAAGGTGAAACTCTCTTGTTAGAAACAGATTGGTTTACAAAATCCAAAGCTACTTTAGACTTTGATAACCATACTCTAAAGATTAAATACTTGGGAAAAAGAGCTACTATCTATATGATCCATGTTAGTGAAGAGCTAATATCTCATGAATTTGAAAAATTCACAGATGAAGATGAATGGATCGATAAAATCGAAGAACAAGATAAAGCAGAAACTTACTATACTGAAGAAGGTGACCAAGATGATGACCCCTTATTCTACAACCCTTGAACTGATGTTGTTTCTGACAACAACCCTGCAGTATATGTTGCTTTGACCACTGAAGTTCCTACAATATCTCTTCTAACTGTTAATAGAAAAAGCTAAAAAAATTCTTCTAAACAACTATCAAATTTTTGCTGAAAATATTTCTAAAGAAGAACAAACCTTAGAATTAGGACAAACCAAAGAAGTTTGTTATAAAATTGACACTCCTGATGCTAAACCAATTAAACAATGAGCATATAGAGCATCACCAGACGATTTAGAATTCTTGAAAAAAGAAATTAAAGAAATGAAAAAACATAGAATTATTCAAGAATCAAACAGCCCATGGTCTTCACTAGTAGTTATTGTACCCAAAAAGAATAGAAAACGCTGAATTTGCATTGACTACCAAAAGTTAAATGCAGTAACAACAAAAAATATATATCCTCTCCCTGATATTAATGAAATTCTATTTGTCTTTGAAGGAGCTCAATGGTTTACAAGCTTAGATCTGGCCAGTGGATATTGGCAAGTTGCTATACAAGAAAAAAATAAAAAGAAAACAGTATTTATTACTTGGTATGAAACATATGAGTTTAATATTATGCCTTTTGGTTTGTGCAATGCACCAGCTACTTTTTAACATCTAATGGATAAAATTTTATATCAATTTATTAATAAGTTTTTAGTTGTATATTTAGATGATATTACTATTTATTCAAAAATATTTAAAGAATATTATTCTTACTTACAACTAGTTTTTGATAAGCTTGCAGAAGCTAACCTTAAATTAAATATTAAAAAATGTTCTTTCTTTTTAAATGAACTTAAATTTCTAGAACATATTATAGGAAAAGATGAAGTAAAACCTGATAAAGAAAAGATTAAAAAAGTTAAAAACTTTTCAACACCTACTACCATTTGTCAAATTAGAGATTTTTTTGGACTTGCCTCATACTTAGAAAGTTTATAAAAAAATTTTCTATGATTGCCAAACCTTTGAATATTCTGCTACAAAAGGACCAACCATACCATTGGGGAGAAAAACAAGAAGAAGCCTTCCAAACCTTAAAGGAATGCCTTATTACTGTATCAATCTTACAATATCTTAACTTTAATGAACTATTCTATATTCATACTGATGCTTCACAAACTGGTCTTGGAGCCGTATTAACCCAACTTGATGAAAATAAAAAAGAGCATATAATTGTATATGCTAGTAGAAGTCTTTTAAAAGCAGAACAAAACTACTCTGCTATGGAATTAGAATGCCTTGCTGTTGTGTGGATAGTTGAACATTTCTATTAATACATAGAAGAAAACTACTTCTATCTAATAACTGACCATGCTGCTTTAAAATGGTTAAAAACTACCAAACTTGTAGAAAAAAAAGTAAGATAGATTATACAACTAGAACCCTACAATTTTATTATAATTCATAGAGCAGGAAGAAAGCATAATAATGCTGATTCTTTATCCAGGATGTATGAAAAAGACCACTTTTTAGATGAAGAAACAGAAGTTAACCTGATTGATTTACCAACATTAAGCATATGGGCCTTTCCAATCTTTAGCAAGACTTTTATTGTTTTTGGCATTAACTCGTTTGCTTATATATTCAATATAATACCATGTATAAAATTGTCTATCATATTGAATTTCTTCATGAGAAAATACTACATGGTTGTATAATGGAAGTCTACTAATTAAATTAGAAGAGAGGTTATCTTCCAAGGTTTTTCTTACGATTTCTAGATCTTCTTCTGTTTGGGCTCCTTTTTGAGGTTCAGACTCATTAGCAATATTTACTACTTTAGAGTTAGACATAATATCACTTCATGGGTTTTCTAAGTAGGAGTCAGTTTTTTTGAGAGAAA